TTATGTGTTATACATGCATGTTTATATATATGTTTATGTGTTGGATAGATTATATCCGATTTGGTTCAGTTTTTCTTCGATTTTATTGACTATGAAAAGCTTGTGATTGATCTGATTTATTCTTAGAGTTCCTAACCTTTATGGGTTTCTTAATATGTTATTGGATCTGTTTGTTTTGTTCAAATAATGCTTTTTGTACCGTGTTCCTTTATGTGGTATGTTTTTCCGAGCCGATCTCTTTTTCTATGAGATAAATTTGATTAATGCTTTAGCTTGGGGATCTTATGCTATTGAGTTTTGATTTGACATCGTTAGCTGGAGGTAAGGCCAAAGCAAACCGGTTTAAATATTTGATTTAAATCGCTGTTTGTTTTTATTTTAATGATGGTTTTGTTTTGATGGTAATGATGGGTGCTTAATTCAGGTTCAAAGACTAATTTTTTTGGTGGCTGTACTTTAGTGGTAAAATCCACACTGTTATGTGGAGACCTGGGCTCGAATCCCAGCAGCCACGCCTGGTTTACTTAATTTTTATGTCAAAAGCTAGTTCAGGGTTTTGTTACTTTAATATTTTCTAAGTCTGTTTATTTTTAGCTCATTGTGACTTTCTAATGGCTGAGGATTAGATTATCTTGTTCAAATGTTTTTCATGATAAATGCTTAATCCAGAAGGCAGTATCGTTATCTGTGGTTTTACCTAACGTCTTCGATCTATCATTTTCAGCTTCTCTCCCAAATTTTATCATGGGTAAGGAGAAGGTTCACATTAATATTGTGGTCATTGGCCATGTCGACTCTGGCAAGTCAACAACCACTGGTCATTTAATCTACAAGCTTGGAGGTATTGACAAGCGTGTGATTGAGAGATTTGAGAACGAGAGGAATTTGAGAAGGAACGCTGCTGAAAATGAACAAAAGTCTTCAAGTATCCGCTTGGGTCTTGGACAAGCTTAAGGCTTGAACGTGAGCGTGGTCTGCACCATTGATATTGGCTCTTTGAAGTTTTGAGACTAAACTAAATATGTACTGCACCTGTCATTGATGGCACCTTCGGACATCGCGGACTTGGTACCTAAGACATGACCGATCTACGGGTAACCTTGCTCACAGGCCCTGACTGGTGCTGTGCTGATGTATTGACTCTGACACTTGGTGGTTTCGAAGCTTGGTATTAATAATCAAGGATGGGTCAGAGCCCGTGAACATGCTCTGCTTGCTTTTCACTCTGTGTGAAAGCAGAAATCTGTTGCTGCAACAAAGCGCTGCAGAGCCTCTTTGGGTCCTTGCAAGTTGTTTTCCTTGTATTACAGTTGTTGTTTGTAAGATTTTAAATTGTGTCGTTAACTTCACATTCTTGATTATGTGACTAGATGGATGGCCACACACCCCCACAAGAACTAACTAAGGCTAGATACGATGAATATGTGAAAGGAGTTTTCCACTTGAAAGAAAGGATAGGTTATATACCCTGGACAAGATTCCCATTTGTAGCCATCCAACTGGTTTTGAGTGGTGATAACATGATTGAGAGATCAACACCTCGGATGGTGAGCGAATAGGGCCCTTACGCCTCCGCTTGAGGCCCTTGACTTGAATCACTGAGAACACACCAGAGGCCACAGACAACGCCAACTCCGTCTCCCTTCAGGATTGTCTACAAGATTGGTGGTATTTTGCCGGGAATCTGTACCTGTTCCGGTCCGTGGGATGGACGACTGTGTCTTAAAACCTGTATGGGTTGTCCACCTTCGGACGCTCGGACTGACCACTGAAGTTAAGTCGTTGAAGATGCACCACGAAGCTCCAGGAGGCCCTTTCGCAGTGACAATGATTGGCTTCAATGTGAAGAATGTTGCTGTCAGGATTTGAAACTGGGTTTTGGTTGCCTCCTAACTCAAGGATGATCCTGCGAAGGAAGCTGCCAACTCACCTCTCAGGTCGATCATCATGAACCCACCTGGTCAAATTGGAAAACGATACGCTCCAGTTCGCTTGACTGCCACAGCCTCCCACATTGCTGTTAAGTTGCTGAGAATCCCTAAAACCAAGATTGATAGCGATCTGGTAAGAGCTTGAAGAAGGAGGCCAAAATTCTTGAAAGAATGGTGATGCTGATTTGTGAAGAATGATCCCACCAAGCCATGGTTTTGTGTAGACCTTTTCTGAGTACCCTCCCCTGGGTCGTTTTGCTGTGAGGGACCATGCGCCAGACCAGTTTGCTGTTGGTGTCATCAAGAGTGTATGAGAAGAAGACGCCAAGTGGGTGCTAAGGTTCACCAAAATCCGCAGCAAAAAGAAAAAGTAAAAGCGTTGTGGAGACCTTTTCTGAGTACCCTCCCCTGGGTCGTTTTGCTGTGAGGGACATGCGCCAGACAGTTGCTGTTGGTGTCATCAAGAGTGTTGAGAAGAAGGACCCAAGTGGTGCTAAGGTCACCAAATCCGCAGCAAAGAAAAAGTAAAGCATTGGGTGAATGATGTTACAGTTATTAGTTTAGTTATGTTTTGTTTTAAGTAATGTCTTCCTGTTGTTTTTGGTTTCAGTTCCAGTTATCTGGCAGTTTTGTGACCTAAGTTCTCAAGTTACTGTCTTTTGTGTCGTTCTGAATTGTTGTATTGTGTTTTGCGGATTTTGGAGCCACAAACTTTTGCTATTTATGTTACTATATCCATCTCATTTTTATTTAGCATTCTGTAGTTTTTTGTCTTCATGTTAGTCTCTGTTTGTTAGTTAATTCATATCTAACAGGTAATTATCATATCTGTAGTTAATGGATCGCCAGATGAGACAAATTACCAGTCTTTCTTCACCACAGTAACTGAAGCCGACGGATTAAAGTTTCCTCGTAAAAATATATTTCACTCTCAAAAATTGAATTTTTTTGGAATATTTCATTCCCAGACTAAGAACAAATAATAATATAACGGAAGTGAAACCACTGTATCTTCACAAAGATGGTTTTAACTAGTAAGTTATATTTTCTTAGACTCTCAATTGCTGGTTCAGGTTTGTATGTCCTCGTGCATGTTCTATCTGTCGCTGTTAGTATTTCGAATGTTAAACTCTGGAAAAAGAAAAAAAAATCTTCACAAAGGTGGTGAGGAGATTATTTCAGTAATGTTACATAAAGTATATAATGATAATCAATACATATGTTTAGTTGATGGGTTCCATCCCCAACAAGTATTTGGTGCACTCTTGTATTTAATTATACTTCCTTTCACTTAAAGATACGACCAAATCAAGCAATAAAACTTCTACTATGGAAAAAACTTCTACTGTTATATATATACATATACCATATGGTATTGCATTTTCTGAGTTCTCTCTGAGAGCTTCTTTTTCATCAAACCTCAGATTCAAGATTTTGTCGAAATGGGTTCTTTAGAAAGATCAAAAAAGAAGTTCAGTTATGGAAAAAAGCTGTTGTTCATTTTGCTTTGTGTTTTGTTATGGGTTTCTTTTCAGGCTTTGCTCCTACTGGTAAATCTTCAGTATTCTCAAGTCAAATTATTTCATCAAACAAATCTCATTTTTCTCCTCAACCTGTCGAATTTAGCAGTGACTTCACAGCCTGCTGGAGCTGAGAATGTAAACCAGAGTTTAATTAGAAGCTGAAACTCCAATGGCAACTCCAGCGACGTCTAAAGAATCTGCAGAACGTGCAAAGTTTTTGGAAACACAAGATCAAGAACATAAATAGGAAAAAGAAACAATGTTGGTTCCAAGAAGATTAATAATTATTGTTACGCCATTGAGTAATAAAGATCGGTATCAAGCATATGGTAAGCATAAGTCGCGTGGAAGTAGTCTCTCTAGATATTTGGTTGGCTCCACTTTGGTCCTTTTATGTAGTTCATGATATCCTACTTGGTTTCTCAGTTTTTGTTAGTTGAAAAATAATGTCGCACCATTTTTCTTTTTTGCTCTCAAGTTCAAAGTATAGTTAAACATGCTTATGGAATTCAGGGATGGGGAGTTGGCAACTGAAGTAGCATGCGTAGTGGTGAATCTTTCAGCCCTCTCAAATGTTGCTAATAGCATGCTGGTGAAAAATGATGTTCTCCAACTGCTTATACAAAGATTAGCAACATCAAACATCTAGCAATTGCTTATTCCCGGTAACTTACATTATGAGAGTTTAAAATTTTTTGTTGAGTCAGGCAGTTATTTATTTGTTCATTTGTCTTTCTATTACTGCAAATAAGAGTCATGCTGATTATCAATTTATGGTTGTTGCAGGTTTTGAGGGGGATGCCAAATGGAGAGGGCCCAAAGCTTGTTGAACGAGAGGATATTGGCATAGAAGCCATGGAAAGATTTCAGTTTCATGAGAATGAAGACCTGAGAAATATGGCGAATGGTTTGGACTATGGGCTTGACAAATAGAATTCTTGATGTAATCTTATTCGCAAATCGGAATGTAAAATTTGAACCAGAGATAACCCATGACCTAGATCTCAATCTAAGATGGGTTGGTCTGAACTCTGAAGAGGCAAAATGTAATAGTTTGTACTATGTAACATGTTTGCACAGGCATTACTGTCTGAACTGTTCTTAAAATGCAATTTTAACAAATTTTTCCTTCATGAAATTTGAAGTTCAGAACATGGATGGTTACCATCAAGCAGGCTAATGCAGATAAAAAGGAGTTGAGTGTTGTTGATGTTTAGTGAAAATTTAGCTTAAAATGTCAACGAGTACGAAGTGAAAATCACGTTCAGGACGATACATATTTTATTTATTTAACAAAGCAGATAATAAAAATAAAATATTCATATAGTCGACTCTAATTATTTTTATAATTAAATTTAATTGTTTTATTTATAATTTGATGTGATGATTTCATAATTTTCGTTATTGGTTTGAGTTAAAATTTATTAATTGTATTTGTGATCGAATTTATATGAAAAATAATAGCATCAATTAATGATTAAGGGAAATTATTCAAAAGATGATTTGTAGCCAAATCATTCTTACCAAATTGACAATACGTTGAGAAAATTTTATCACGTGAAATAATTTCTCAATTTAAAATGTGTTGTCACTATGGTGTCATTATTTTTGGATTTGAGCAAACAGTTGAGTGGCAATTTCAGAATTTAATATTTGATCGGTTCGATTTAAAATTTTATGAAAAATCTTTTTTTAAAAGAAAATTAAAATAGAATTAAATTTCTAAAAATACTTGTATATATTAAAAATTAAATGTAAAAGTATATATAGTTTAGATTTATTAGGTTACTTTAATTTTTATTATCAAAATAAAATTGAACTACAATAACACAAATTATTCTATAAATTTTTAAATAAAACTGAATTGAATTGTGGAAAAACTGAATTAATTATAAAATTGAATTGATTCGGTTTGATTTAAATTAATCGAACCATCTGCTTGCCCCTGGCAAATCCACTAATCCAGTGTCTGAATAATATTAACGACAACGGAAAAATTTACTTAGACCGGATTCCTAAGAACAATGTGGTACTTTCACGATGCAAATCCGACGTGGCAAAATATGGCACGCGAGATAAAAATATCAGAATATCGACGGCTTAGATGAGCGATTAATACTGGCCGTTGATAAAATAATCCAACGGATGAAAGAGAAACCCTACTTAGGCCAAAGGCTTTAGCGATGTTACGATAATACTTAAACCAGAGCAAGCAGCCCCGCTGGTCATCTTTCCCTTGCTTTCTACGATCTCTCTATTTCTGCGAGAGAGCACTTCTTCGGCTAGCGAATCTCCTCCTCTAAGAGTCGTTTTCTCTGGTTATTTTTAAGGTTCGATCTCTTTTTCTCCTCCTTTATGTGTTACACATATATTTGTTTATGTGTTTGATAGATTAGATTAGATTTGGTTTTCTCCTATGTTATTGATTATGAAAAGCTTGTGATCGATCTGATTTATTCTTAGAGTTCGTAATCTTTAGGGGTTTCTTAATATGTTATTTGATCTGTTTAATTTGTTTAAATAATGCTTTTTGTACCGTGTTCGTTTATGTGGTTTGTTTTTTCGAGCGGATCTCTTTATCTATAAGATAACTTTGATTACTGCTTTAGCTTAGGGTGGTTTTGATATTGAGTTTTGATTTGACATCTTTAGCTGGAGATTAGACCAAAGCAAACCGGTTTAAATACTTGATTTAGGTCGCTGTTTGTTTTGATGGGAATGGGTTTCTATTCCAGGTTCAAAGACTAATTTTTTGGTGGCTGTACTTTAATGGTAAATTCCACAATGTTATGTGGAGACCTGGGCTCGAATCCCAGATGCTTTAATTTGTTGTAAATAATGCTTTTTGTAACCCGGTGGTTCCCGTTTAATGTGGTTTGTTTTTTTCGAGCGCCGATGCCTCTTTAGTTCGTTTATGTGGTTTGTTTTTTCGAGCGGATCTCTTTATCTATAAGATAACTTTGATTACTGCTTTAGCTTAGGGTGGTTTTGATATTGAGTTTTGATTTGACATCTTTAGCTGGAGATTAGACCAAAGCAAACCGGTTTAAATACTTGATTTAGGTCGCTGTTTGTTTTGATGGGAATGGGTTTCTATTCCAGGTTCAAAGACTAATTTTTTGGTGGCTGTACTTTAATGGTAAATTCCACAATGTTATGTGGAGACCTGGGCTCGAATCCCAGCAGCCACGCCTGCGTTACTTGATTTTTATATCAAAAGCTAGTTTAGGGTTTTGTTACTAAATATTTTCTCAGTTTATTTTTAGCTTATTTTGGCCTTTTAATGGCTGAGGATTAGATTAAAATGTTCAAATGTGTGTCATTATTCAGGATAAATGCTTAACCTAGAAGGCAGTATCATTATGTGATTATTGGGTTTTTTTGTTCTGGTGAAATTATGTTGTGTTAGATGATTTTGCCTGACATCTTGGATTTTTTTCATTTCAGCTTCTCTCCCAACTTTTATCATGGGTAAGGAGAAGGTTCACATTAACATCGTGGTCATTGGCCATGTCGACTCTGGCAAGTCAACAACCACTGGTCATTTAATCTACAAGCTTGGAGGTATTGACAAGCGTGTGATTGAGAGATTTGAGAAGGAAGCTGCTGAAATGAACAAAAGGTCCTTCAAGTATGCTTGGGTCTTGGACAAGCTTAAGGCTGAACGTGAGCGTGGTATCACCATTGATATTGCTCTTTGGAAGTTTGAGACGTGGTATGCACGCATTGATATTTTTGCTCTTTGGAAGTTTGAGACCAGCGTAAGAGATAATTAACTAGCACTGTCTATTTGATGCTTCCGTGGACAGTCGGGACTCTTTAATCTAAGAACACTGAATCACTGGTACCACTGTGCTCACAGGCCTGACTGAGCTGTGCTCATTAATTGACTCTACCCCAACTGGTGGTTTTGAAGGAAGCTGGTATTTCCAAGGATGGTCAGACCCGTGAGCATGCTCTGCTTGCTTTCACTCTTGGTGTGAAGCAGATGATCTGTTGCTGCAACAAGGTGAGCCTCTTTGGTCCTTATAATGTTGTTTCCTTGTAGCAGTTGTCTTGTAATTTTGTGTGTTGTAACTTCAATTCCTGATTTATGTGATAGATGGATGCCACAACCCCCAAGTACTCTAAGGCTAGATACGATGAAATTGTGAAGGAAGTTTCTTCCTACTTGAAGAAGGTGGGTTACAACCCTGACAAGATCCCATTTGTGCCAATCTCTGGTTTTGAGGGTGATAACATGATTGAGAGGTCAACCAACCTCGATTGGTACAAGGGCCCTAACGAGGTCAACCAACGCTCGATTGGTACAAGGGCCGCCTACCCTCCAATGAGCGCCACTCGACTTTGATCAACTTGAGCCCAAAGAGGCTTTCAAACAGACAAGCTGCTCGTCTCCCACTCAGGATGTCTACAAGCCATATGGTGTATTAGTTACCACTAAGTCCGCTGTCGGTCGTGTTGAGACTGGTCGCTCTTTAAAACCTGGTAAAGGTTTGTCACCTTCCGGAGCCATCTGGACTGACCACTGAAGTTAAGTCTCGTTGAGAATGCATTCCCAACGATATGCCTCCAGCGAGGTTCCAACCCCCCCCACCCTTATCCTCCCAGGAGGGTTTATGACACTGTTGGCTTCAATGTTGAAGAATGTTGCTCGCAATGAGCCAAAGAGGCCAACAGACAAGCCACTCCGTCTCCCACTTCAGGATGTCTACAAGATTGGTGGTATCGGAACTGTCCCTGTCGGTCGTGTTGAGACTGGTGTCTTAAAACCTGGTATGGTTGTCACCTTCGGACCATCTGGACTGACCACTGAAGTTAAGTCTGTTGAGATGCACCACGAAGCTCTCCAGGAGGCCCTTCCAGGTGACAATGTTGGCTTCAATGTGAAGAATGTTGCTGTCAAGGATTTGAAACGTGGTTTTGTTGCCTCTAACTCCAAGGATGATCCTGCGAAGGAAGCTGCCAACTTCACCTCTCAGGTCATCATCATGAACCACCCTGGTCAAATTGGAAACGGATATGCTCCAGTCCTTGACTGCCACACCTCCCACATTGCTGTTAAGTTTGCTGAGATCCTAACCAAGATTGATAGGCGATCTGGTAAAGAGCTTGAGAAGGAGCCAAAATTCTTGAAGAATGGTGATGCTGGATTTGTTAAGATGATTCCCACCAAGCCCATGGTTGTGGAGACCTTTTCTGAGTACCCTCCTCTGGGTCGTTTTGCTGTGAGGGACATGCGCCAGACTGTTGCTGTTGGTGTCATCAAGAGTGTTGAGAAGAAGGATCCATCTGGTGCAAAGGTCACCAAATCCGCAGCAAAGAAAAAGTAAAGCATTGGGTGATTGAAGTTACAGTTAGTTTAGTTATGTTTTGTTTTAAGTTATGTCTTGCTGTTGTTTTTGGTTTCAGTTTCAGTTATCTGGCAGTTTTGTAACTTAAAAGTTCTCAAGTTATTGTCTTCTGCGTCGTGTTCTGAATTGTTAAATTGTGTTTTTGGGATTTTAAAGCCACAAACTTTTGCAATTTATCTTTCTATTTTCCTCTAATTTTATTTTAGCATTCTATTTAGTTTTTGTTTTTTATGTTCGTTTCTGTTTGTTTGGAAAAGTAATCTATATTATCTATATGCTGGTGTTTCCTGAAAACCAGAAAATTCAGGGACTGGTTAATCGTCTGACGTCTCTGTCTCTTTCTGTTAATTGTATGAGCCTTAAAAGTGTTCTATACTTCTACGGCCTTCCTCAACCTAGCCTGAAGTTGTTCCGTAAAACGTAAGGAAAAAGGGCCGAAATGATCAACTAAGTTCAAAATTACAGGCAAGTGTGGAGAAATGGGCCTGAGCCTGTTTTACCCGGTCATTAACCCATCTTACGAGACCATTTACCAGTCTTCTTCTTCACCACAGGAACAGAAGCGGACAGATGAAAGTTCTCCGTTTTTTCTTCCTATAAAAATATAATTCACTCTCAAAATTTGAATTTTTTTTGAGATATTTCACTCTCAAACTAAGAACAAATAACCATAAAACGTAAACTGAAACCGATGTATCTTCACAAAGATGGTTTTAACTAGTAAGTGCTCTCTTCTTTTACTCTCAATTGCTGGTTCTGGTTTTCTTGTCCTTATGCATGTTTTATCTGTCGTGTTATAAATATTTCTAATGCTAAATTCTGCAAAAGAAAATTTTTTCTTCGAGGTGGTGAGGAGGGTTCTCATTCTGATAGAAAATATCTTTTGCTTCTAGTGGGTATTTATTTGTCAAATCCCATTGCTTTTTTTGGCATGGCAATTTGGTGCTTTAATGTCAGTTAGAGCTTTGATAAACCAAATTTCCCCTTACATACCAATTCCTCTTTGGTACTAATCACATATTTCTCTTAAAGGAAGCATAGATTTTCCAATTCCCCTTTCTCTAATCAGTAATTAGTGGGAGTGTGGGACAAAACCTATTTCTTTAACTTAATTACTCTCCATCGCTTAGCAATTCTTTGAACTTGAGAATTCTTGATATGGTATATCAAGGCATGAGAAATTGTCTGTTCAAAAATCCTAAATTTTTTAATTATGCCAATAGGCTGAGCTCTTAACATGATATTAAAGATAAATATATTAATTACAAAGCATAAATAAGTTTATTATTAAAAGAAATCATTAGTAAATAATGGGTAAAATGAAATGTTTTTGACATTTTATATATTTTTTCAGTAGATTATTTCATTAATATTACATAATAAAGTATAAGTTTAGTTGATGGGTTCCATCCCCAACAACTGTTTGGTGCACTCTTGTATATAGGTATACTTCAATGTTCCTTTCACTTAAAGAGACGACCAAATCAAGCAATAAAATTTCTACTATGGAAAAAACTTCAAATCAAAATAATTTAGTTTTTGAGTTTGCTAGAACCCATCATTTGAAAAAATAAAATAAATAAAAATACCTCCTTATATATTATATATATACATATATCATATAGTCTTGCATTTTCTGAGTTCTCTCTAGGAGCTTCTTTTTCATCAAAACTCAGTTAGAATAGAGATTTTGTTCAAATGGGTTCTTTAGATAGATCAAAAAAGAAGGTTCAGTTATGGAAAAAAGCTGTTGTTCATTTTGCTTTGTGTTTTGTTATGGGTTTCTTTTCAGGCTTTGCTCCTACTGGTAAATCTTCAGTATTTTCAAGTCAAATTATTTCATCAAACAAATCTCATTTTTCTCCTCAACCTGTCGAAGCGTTTCATTTAGCAGTGACTCCACAGCCTGCTGGAGCTGAGAAGTTAAACCGGAGTTTGGTTGCTGAAACTCCAGTGGCAACTCGGGCGAGGTCTAAAGAATCTGCAGAACGTGCAAAGTTTTTGGAAACACAAGATCAAGAACATGAACAGGAAAAAGAAACAATGTCAATTCCAAGAAGATTAATAATTATTGTTACGCCATTGATTAGTAAAGATCGGTATCAAGAAGTGTTCTTAAGGAGATTAGCAAATACTATAAGGTTGGTTTCGCCGCCATTGTTATGGATTGTTGTGGAAGGGCAAACTGAGTCGGACAAAGTATCAGAAATACTTAGAAAAACAGGTATTATGTATAGGCATTTGGTGTCAAAAGAGAACTTTACAGATGCAGAAGCAGAATCAGATCATCAAAGAAATGTTGCTCTTAGGCATATTGAACATCACAGGCTTGGTGGGATTGTTCATTTTGCTGGCCTTTCCAATGTCTACGATCTTGCCTTCTTTCATGAGCTTAGAGAAATTGAGTATGTAAAAAACTTCTCTTTATCTCTGATCATTATGCATTTTTCTTTTCACTAGTTAAGCTTGTTGATGCAAAATTTTTCCGAATTATTATCTTTTAACTGCTATGGTAAAATGAAGTGAAAAAAATGGGTAAAAACTTAGGCAGGGAAAGGCAAATAGGAAGTTCATTTTCTAGGCTGGAAGGTGGAATGGAATTATCAAAGTTTAGGTTTTTCTTGAAGAAATTTCGGTGGCAGCTAGAGAATGAGATTCCTTTGGTGTACCAAATACAAGTTTCTAAGTTTTTTAAGTTGCATTTTACACCAAAACAATATAGGATTGGTCAGGGAAAAACAACCCAGACGATGATTCATTTGATTTTGACTATTTCTTTATTGGGTAATCAAGTTAGGTTTTATGATATTCTTGAAACATATTAAAACGTTGTCGGAGTTTTGTTGGGTTTACAAGATTTTTGTTTTGTCCCTGGTTTTGGTAGGGTGTTTGGGACATGGCCAATGGCGTTACTGTCAGCAAACAAGAATAAGGTGATAATAGAAGGACCTGTCTGCGATTCCTCAGTAGTTCTTGGATGGCATCTAAAGAAAATGAACAATGAAACAGAAGAAAGACCTCCAATTCATATTTCAAGTTTTGCTTTCAATAGTTCTATTCTTTGGGATCCTGAAAGATGGGGTCGCCCTTCTTCAATTCCACATTCTTCACAGGTATTTCAATATTTATTTAACAAATTAAATTCAAAACTCCTTTTTGATACTTTCACGAGTATCCAAATCTGTGTACGGTTCACGGTAAACTCAATTAATTCCGCGTACCCTTAGAGTCAGAGTAACTGATTTGGGAGTCAAAATTTCTTTTTCCTATCAATAGATATAGCATCTTAAATTCAAAATCTTGAAACACTAAATTTTGGTATCGAGCAAAATCATGTCCATATCAATGTCTTATAGTCTAATTTTGTGGTCGTGTAATATATTTTTAATTGGATAAAAAATATCAACATGTGAATTAGATGTTAGAGTAAAATAATAATAAAAATAATGCACCAAAATAAGAAAATAAATTTCTTAAGAAATGAAATAATGATGATTTTGATTGTTTCTAAGTACAAAAGAAATCCTCTTCATGTTGCTTCTTTTGATTATTAACATTAAATTTCTCAAAGTTTAAGATTTTTGTCCACCTTGTAATGATGCATCCATGCAAAAAACTTTGCTTTCCTCCTTTACTTCTATTGTGAAAGAAAGAGAGAATCTTACTCCACATTTGTTAATACTAATTAATTATATACTAAGTCCTAATCATATGGGTCCAATTATTACCAACCGGTAGATGAAATATATATATATATATGCTTCAAAATTAAATCATATCATTTTGGTTATATAGAGGTTTGGCCAACTCCCAAACCATATTAAAATCTTATAATCATGTTTTCTTTAATTAATAGCAAACCAAATTATTTCCTTAGCCATATAATTTTTGTCATACTTCTATTTTTCATCCGTCCTAAATTGTTGTCGTGTTTTTTGTTTTAAATGAAGAAGATTTAAAGTTTATTATTTTACCCTTATTTAATATGTTTCTTTGTCAATAAATATAATAGTCAAATTACTATTTTGGCATTAATTAAATCTTGATATAAACAAAATTAGCATACTCCTATCAAACTTTAATCTTCCAATGAAACTCTAATTAATCAAATCATTTCAAGAATAATTTAATTTTTATGGATACTAACATATGGGTATATTAGGAAAAATAAAGCAAAAATAATAATTTAACTATATTAACTAAATTTTCTTAATCCATGTCCAAGTCAACCAGGATATGAGACAGAGAGAATAATTTAATTAACATTAAATTCTTGTAGAGATTATGTTCTTATAGTAATTCTTTTTACCAAATGAGGGCAATGAAAATCACATTTCATCTATTTAATAATTATTTATTTATTTATTTGCTTGATAGAATTCAATCAAATTTGTCAAACAAGTTGCTCTTGAAGATGAGGCCAAGCTAAAGGGAATCCCACCAGAGGACTGCTCTAAAGTCATGCTTTGGCAGCTTAATTTTCCCAATCAAATTCAACCTACTTCAAGAAGATGAGAAAGGAAATTTTGGTCAAGAGAGATTTCAAAATTGATCCTTATACTATATATTAGCACCATTTTTACCCCTCATTGAGCTCTTTTTTTTTTTTTTTTTCTTTTGTAACTATATTTCAAACTAAAATTTTCTTAACATCCATGTCCACGTCACACCCAGGATAGAGACAGAGAGATAATAATTAAATTTTAACATTAAATTCTTTTGTAAGAGAGGTTATGTTAGTTCAATTATAGTAAAATCTATTTATTACCAAAATAGAGGGCCATGAAAATCAGACAATTCATCTAATTTTCAATAATTATTTAATTTTATTTATTTTGCTTGATAGAAATCAATTTCAAATTTGTCAAACAAGTTGAGCTCTTGGAAAAGATCGAGGCCAAGCCAAAGGGAATCCCACCAGAGGACCCTGCTCCCTACAAGTCATGCTTTTGGAAGCTTAAATTATTTCCACCAATCAATTCAACCTAACTCTCAAGAAGATGAAGAAAGGAAATTTTCGGTCAACCGAGAGAAGTTTCAAAATTGATCCTTATACTAATATTTTATTCAGCACCCATCTTTACCCCTCATGAGCTCTTTTTTTTTTTTTTTTAACATCATTTTTTTTTTTTTTTTTTTTCATTTTTTTATAGTATGAGATTAATAGCAAATGTATTGAATTTTACATGGTCGCTCACTGTTTATAACCAAACAAAAACTAATTTGAAACAGAATAAAACAGAGAAGAAAAGAAGTTGGAATGGTGTAAGAAACGACGTGTGTTTTGAAGAATAGTATCTCCTCCCAATGTCGTTGGAGGAGTTGTATTAGAACATTTGTCGTTGGATTATACTTGTTGGAAAATGATGTCGTGGAACGAAAGCGAGACCGATTGAGAAGGCGGAAAAAGATGTTAGATGTTTATGTTTGCCCATCGGCCCAAATGGCCAGTAGTTGGACCCAATCGTACCTTAATTCATATTCGAACAATCATCAAGGCCCAATAATAACCCATTAATGCTAAATTTGAGGATAAATTATATTTTTTATTCGTTAGGAGACTCAACGAGCTGAAATAATATGATATGTTATACAACAAGAGATAATAATTTTCGACTAATTAAATTGGTGAAAACTTTTATGGTAGAGAAGACTAGAACTCGAGACCCCTCATTCCTTATGACGAGGATAAATTATCTAGTGCTTTCTCTTTCTCTCATTTATTTATATAACACATACCATAATGTTGCATGAACATTAGGGCATGATTGATAATTATATGCATTATTAAGAGTACATTATTTTTAATGATTAACCCGAGAATGGCCGAGAATTCCATTGACGTTCAGTCTCGAAAAAAGAGGCATGGTCGAAAGACCGGCCGACTCTCACCCGACTAGAGGGACTGAAAAATTAATAGAGTACAAAACTTATGTTCAAGCTTTACCTTATTCTGATCGTTCAAAGGGCAAAATGTAAATAGAAAACATCGCATGGGAAAGCCTCACGGCTCAATAACTTCCTTCTTTAGTAACTCGCACAAACACAAGAGAAAGGAGCGAAGGTTCGTTGGGAAGAGATTCTTCCATTCCCGAACCGAAACGAGTGAAACCTAGGAAAAAAGAAAATGAATTACACCTTATTAAGAGTACATTATTTTTAATGATTAACCCGAGAATGGCCGAGAATTCCATTGACGTTCAGTCTCGAAAAAAGAGGCATGGTCGAAAGACCGGCCGACTCTCACCCGACTAGAGGGACTGAAAAATTAATAGAGTACAAAACTTATGTTCAAGCTTTACCTTATTCTGATCGTTCAAAGGGCAAAATGTAAATAGAAAACATCGCATGGGAAAGCCTCACGGCTCAATAACTTCCTTCTTTAGTAACTCGCACAAACACAAGAGAAAGGAGCGAAGGTTCGTTGGGAAGAGATTCTTCCATTCCCGAACCGAAAAGAGTACAAAACTTATGTTCAAGCTTTACCTTATTCTGATCGTTCAAAGGGCAAAATGTAAATAGAAAACATCGCATGGGAAAGCCTCACGGCTCAATAACTTCCTTCTTTAGTAACTCGCACAAACACAAGAGAAAGGAGCGAAGGTTCGTTGGGAAGAGATTCTTCCATTCCCGAACCGAAACGAGTGAAACCTAGGAAAAAAGAAAATGAATTACACCTTATTAAGAGTACATTATTTTTAATGATTAATAAAATTTGAAGTGTCATAAAATTTTTTATAAATAAAAAATAAGTAAATTTATATATTTCACGGCTAAATAATTAATAGGATTTGACTATAAATTGTAGTTAAATGAAACATGGATTATGATGATGAATGTATCCAATGTTACTTTAATGGGAATTTGATTTTGATGGGATGGTGCATCTTTACTCAAAAAAGAAATTCAATTAAAAATTGAATGAGAACATAAATATTTACTTGATAATAACTAATTATTTAATACAAGTCGTGAACTTCAATTATTATTGAGCCATCAAACTTTTCCAATTTGGATATGCTAACTAATTAGCTGAAATCATTACCTCAAAATTTTGTTTTGTTACATCACAATTTCAAGAAAGGCTAAAGGTACCCACAAAACTTACATTTCCTTTTCTTTTTCCAATCAATTTTAATTAATCGGAAATCAGCGTCACTGTGTAACTCCATAATTCACCTCAGTTTCGTTATTCCCGGATAAAATTCGTCTGAACATACAATGTATTTTTAATACTTTAATTCAATTATATTTCTTATTTTTTTTATTAATAATAGATGTTTATGAATTTCATATTCTATCCATACAAACCATTAATTAAATTGCTATATTGAAAGAGTAGATACTAAGAAGGTGACATGCAGTTGGGTTGGTTAACAACACTGGCCCTACTTAAGCCAAATAATTTTCAATTACAGGACATGAAATGCTGGCTAATAAGCTTCCCAAACCTACTCTAATAATGGGATGAGTTGTTGAATTTGGGACATGAAGGCCACTCATTAAAACTTGATTATACCTTGCAATTTGGTTTTAAAATATATTAGTTTCCCCCCTACCCCAATCCATTACCTCACTAATAATCATATTAGCTAAAACTACAAGCAAATAACCAAAACCAAGAAAAGAGAGAGATAAATATTTTAAGCTAGCCCTGGAATTGGATTATGTTAGGTCAATTACCATGTGGTTTAATTTCGAAGGGTGAGATGAGATAACAGAGATTCCTTATCCTTTAACTAAAAGTTTCGAGTTTGAACGCGAATCCGGAGTAATCGAGACAATGAATTTTAGATAATAATAGAGTAATCTTGTAGCTTAAGCTCTCTTTTCTCTTCTTACGAGTCAGTGGGCCTCAACAACATATAAAAATCCAAATTTTGTTAATCTAATATATTCTTTAACAAAAATAAAATATAAACTAATATTTTATACTGATGATGTTTATATGTTCTTGTAATTTCAAAGTTGAAGGCTATTTTTGTTGATTTTTATACCATTATTTACGTTTCTCATTATTATTTTCAGTAAAATGTTATAAGGATCGTGATTGTCTCTTTATGAATCCAATTCTATAATTTTGTGGAAATGGTCTACTAAATTCATGCATGCCTTACTCCTTGAGTTGCTCCTCCTTTGCCTCTCGAAATATATATATATATATATATATATATATAAAGAAAATATATTTTGCATTTATTATAATTGAAAAAAGAAAATAGAGGAAAAACATGTATATGCTTACGCAAGATTGTAATAAGAGGTAGAGTTATATTGTTATTATCCTAAATTTTATCGAAGGGTTTTGTTATTTTGATATCTTGTTTTTTGTTGACATTGGATTTCAACTGTTTCAGTTAAAAAAAGAAGAAACAGTTGAACTGTAACTTGTACAGTTTGACAGCGTCTTGTATTGGCTCAAAAACTGGAAAGTGACCGCATAAGATCCCTACACGGCTACACCGAAAGAATGGGGTGATTTACATTAATAGAGTGGGACCCATATTCTCAGATTCAAGAAGAGAGAGAGAGAGTGGGGTCATGCTTAGCTAAACCAGCTGGGTTTTCTTCATATTCTCTTATCATTGAAATCTTCTTGTTCTTTGTTAACTAAAGAAAGATCTGTAATACTATCTCTCTACTGCAAAACCATTCTCCTGTTTCTTCTTTTGTGATCTTTTGGTTTATTTGAAGAAGAAGATAAAGAAAAGATAGATAGATAGAGACTTGTCTGTCTGAGAGATCTGGTTAGTACTTTCTTTTTCTTTTTCTTTTTATTTTCTTCTAGTTTTTGGACCCTCAATTATGAGATTAGCTTTTTCTTTAACTTGTTTTGTGTAATTTAATTCTGTATTTCCCTTTCCTTTTTGCATTAATTGTTTTGTTCAAATTATGGTTCTTGCTAAATACAGCATTGCTTGGAATTAGCTGTTTGTCGGTGGCCTTTTTTTTTTTTGTGGGAATTCTTTGTTTGCTGGCTGAGAAAATGTGAGAAAATTTAATCACTCAACAGTTTCCAATCTGGAAAAATCACTTGCATACTGTTCTAGGCTGACTGGCCAAAAGTTGGGATAATATGAACTTAACTAAGTCAACCATTTGATTTTTTTTTTTTTTTAAATTTTCTCAACCACAATTCTTAAATTATGTTCCTTTTCTTTTCTTTTCTTTAGGTCTTTTTGTGCTTATCTTGTTATCTCCCTCACTTTGGATTTCCTAGATTTCCAGGAAATTTAGTGTTGTCCATATAGTTGTGTATCTAGTGCTGCATTTCCTCTATCTGCCTACCAATTTGTTATAAATAATGAGTTAATCTTATTGTTTTTTCGTGAAGTAATGTGATCTGTGAAGTGTAATTGAAATTCCAAGTTTAAACATTTCGGTTTATTTCTTGAAAAAGATTGAGCAGGGAATGATAAGATGGGTAGGAAAGGAAAATGGTTTTCTAGTGTAAGGAAAGCTCTCAGCCCTGAGTCAAAGGAGAAGAAAGATCAGGTACATAATTCTTAGTTTTCACTTGTATGGAACTTTTAGGATGTTGTATTTGATTTTTCAGTTTATACTTATAATACTGTGTTTTAGAAATCAAATAAATCAAAGAAGAAATGGTTTGGCAAGCAACATCAACCGGATTCTGATTCCACCTCTGTAGAAAATGTCAGAACACTTTCTCCTCCTCCCGTGCCTGCTCCTCCTTCTCCTCCTCCTCCTCCTCATCCAGAAGAGATAAAAACAATTGAAGCAACAAGTGAACCGAACAAGCATGCCTATTCTGTTCCAGTTGCTGCTGCTGCTGCTGAACCTGCTCCTCCTCCTGTCGAGACCACTGCGGAGGTTGTTCGACTTGTCAAGGTTAATAAGTTTGCTGGAAAATCAAGGGAAGAAGTAGCTGCAATCAAGATTCAAACAGCATTCCGAGGCTACATGGTATGTGCCATAATTAGTATCTAATTATTATTGATTGTTGTGTGGTTGAGTACATGTCTCTATCCCATGCGGATGCCATAGCAGTTCTCAAGTTGATGTATTCATAGATACTTCTATTCTCTCCACACAAGATCTATCCTGAACTATACCATATTTACTTTTAAGGTTGAAGCTATTCTTTTTACTGGTGAAAAATAGAATCGTTTATTATCTCCAAAGGAAACCATAACAAAAGCTTTAGTGTTACTATTGTAGTTATAAGTCGTCAGTGTTGTATCTTTCCTTATGGGTTGAAATTCTGACAAAATATTTGAGTTACTCGTCATGCAGATTGAATTTTTGTATAGCCTTTATTGTTTGATGGTATCATAAGTTATGACTTGCTTGTTCCCTTGCATAGGAGACCTAATATGAGCTGATGTAGTTCTGGTGCTGCATATGTAAATAGGCGAAAAAAAATGAAAAGAAAAGATGAACAGATAGAGAAATAGATATGTATTTTGAAGATGTTTATTTTGATTTTTCTTGTGCAAAATAATTGTATCTTGACTCCCAGGGAAATATTGTTTATGCTAAAGTTAGTAGAAGGATAAGATAATGATTTTTCTGACTTGACCATTTACTTGTTTTCTGGTAATTTAGGCCTTATTGTTATTTTAGAACAATTTGTTATTGTTTGCCTTCTTTTTGGGGAAGGAAGAAAACTGATGGGGGGAAAGGAGGGTTGAATGAAGAGAGCGAGATCAAATTTCTATCATCATATTATTTTGCAGAGTGGACTGATGAAGTTAAATCTTGCATTTCTGATTTCTTTTTTAGGCAAGAAGGGCATTGCGGGCTTTAAGAGGGCTGGTGAGGCTCAGATCACTGATAGAAGGGCCTACTGTAAAACGACAAGCCGCACATACCCTGCAGTGCATGCAGACTCTAGCCAGGGTACAGTCTCAAATTCACTCAAGAAGGCTCAGAATATCAGAAGAGAACCAGGCCCTCCAGAGGCAACTCCTACAGAAACATGCACAAGAGCTTGAGAAGTTGCGGGTATGTCTTGTTTTTGTTTTTGAAGTTCCCTACTCAAATGACCTTTTTCGGTTGTATGATTTATCCAAATTAGTTTGCTGAACTGTATTCTGTACATAAAAAGGTTATGAGGCCTGCATGTCATTTCTTATATGATATGTTTAATTTAGATGAACATTATTTAGGATGCCTGCATGTCATTTCTTCTGGGAATAACAAGCGGTTTTAATTTTTACGCATTGTCCCTTCACTAACATAACTAAATGATTGTCATAATAGATGGGAGAGGAATGGGATGACAGCCTACAGTCAAAGGAACAGATTCAAGCTAACCTGCTAAACAAGTACGAGGCAGCTATGAGAAGGGAAAGAGCAATGGCTTATTCATTCACCCATCAGGTAATCAATTTCCTCAGTTATTTTAACCTGCCTGATGGCAATACGAGTATTTATACTGTGTTCTGATTTTGGAGCCTAACTCGCTTGGAACCCCTTAACAGCAAACTTGGAAGAACTCTTCAAGTCATGCAAATCCTATATTTATGAGCTCAGGCAATCCTTCCTGGGGCTGGAGCTGGTTGGAGCGATGGATGGCAGCCCATCCATGGGATAGCCGGAGTACAACGGATAAAGAAATCAATAACGACCACTCATCTGTAAAGAGTGCAGGCCGCAGCATAGTTGGAGGAGAAATCAGCAAGTCTTATGCTCGGTACCAGCTCAATTCTGACAAACTATCACCAATAGAAAGTGAGAAGACAAGGCAAACCATGAACCAACAGTCTCCCTCTACTCCTTCGAAGCCAGTTTCTTCTACTGTTGCTAGAAAATTGAAGTCAGCAAGTCCAAGAAGCAGCATTGGAGGTCTAGATGATGACTCTAGAAGCATGGTCAGTATGCAGTCAGATCGATATAGAAGGCATAGCATTGCAGGATCATCTGTGAGGGATGATGAGAGCCTTGGTAGCTCTTCAGCACTTCCAAGCTACATGGTACCTACTGAGTCTGCAAGAGCAAAGTCCAGATTGCAAAGTCCATTGGGGACCGAGAAAAATGGGACACCAGAGAAGGAAAAAGGAACACCAGGGCCTGCAAGAAAACGGCTTTCTTACCCACCTTCACCAGCCAGGCCAAGGCAGCAGCCAGGTCCGCGAAAGGTGCAAAGCAACTTAAATGTAGAAAATGGTGTGGCTAATGGACAGGGCTAAATGCTTCAAATTGTGGAGGAATGAGCATGCAGCGATTATAATTCTTTAGAGAACACAAACACGAGAGCAAAATAAGAGGAACTCTATTTCTGAATCCTCTCTTGTTGTTCAAAGTATTTATTCATTGGTGAGCAAGCGTTGTTTTGGGGTGAAATTAGCAATCTTGGGTTAGTCCTTTCCTGGGTATTTTATTTGTTCTTATCTATTTGTTTATAAATCTACTCTTTATTCATTGCTTGGGATACTGATATCTGTATCATGACAAAAATAATCTCCAAATTGACTTTGAGTATCTTGTTATCATTTCCTTTTTCATTCATTTTCTTGATTTCTTGAATTTGACTCGCCATTATTCCTAGTTCTTGAGGCCTTTTGATGTTATTCCTTATAGATATCGAGGCATACTTGATAATACATTCAAGTTCGGATTGCATCTCTCAGTATTAGGAAAATTTTTTTATTATGATTTTTAATAGATTTTAAGTGATAGATTGCAAATGAAAATGTAAATGATAAACTAGTTCATGAGCCATTAAATGTAGAACAATGCTTTGTTTTTCTTTTTCCTTTTAAATCAAGTTTAATTATTAAGTATTTTTTTACAATTTTTAATTAATTTAAACCAAAGGACTTAGATTATATTTTTATAAAATATTTTTAAGTGTATGAAATTGAAGAAAAAATTACCACTTTTTCAAAATATGAAAATTAAACCAAAACTCAGTAAATATCTTAGCAATGATATGGTTAAAAGAATAAAAAAATCACCATTGCAAATGTAAATGATGTATATAGATTCGCCAACATACCCGTCCTTCCAAATATGTAGATAGTAAAATATTTAACGACATAGCAAATTATTAAACGACATAGCTAAATATTGAACGACATAGTAAAAATATTGATAACTCTCAAAAACCCTACTGCGAGAAACTCAAAATACAAATCCAAACCCCCCAGTTTTCTCTTTTTCCTCTCTTGTAAATCGATCTTGTAGAAACTGAAACTACAAATCTAAGCTACCAATTGATTATTTTAGTGACATATTTAGAAGAGAGAGAGACTATTGGCTGCTGGTTTTACTTACAGCTCTCAGACTTTCGCAGGAATGGTGAGTTATTTGCTCTCTATTGATTCTTTCGGTGAAAGTACTGATTTTTATTAAATTTTGTTCCTTTAGCTGAGGGAGTAATTCAGGGTTTTACAAATTCCCATTTTTATTGATTCTTCCATTGTTGCTTTATCAAGTTTTGCAAAATCTTTGCCTTCCCTTATGAAGGTAGCCTTTCCTGTTAATTGAGTTGCTGATTTCGTTTGGGCTCTCAATTAGTTAAAAACCCGAAGTAGACGTAAAAACCAGAAGTAGACTCTTTGCTCTTACCTTCTCAAATCTTAATCAGTTTCTTCCGGAGATCCCACGCGGTTTTCCTATATGTTTTGGTACTTATATAAGTTTTGTTCTGTTATTGGAGAATTTCTGTATTATGAGATTGATTTGATTGAATGGATGTGTTTTGTTAGCTCTTTTGGATCTTGATGGTGTGCAGTAGTTTGAAATGATTTTTTTTTTTTGGATTGTCATGTCCTTGTGTGTTTGTGTTCTATTAGAATTTTGTTAAGAATTTTAGATTTTGCGATACGAGCTTAATTAAGCTTTCGATGGAGAAACATATATATAAAGTAATTTAATTGAATTTGCATCAGGCTGCATCTTTGAGGGTAGGGAATGCAGAGGTTGCTGCCTCTCAAGTGGGCAAATATGGTGCCCAGGCTTGGCAGGCATTCAAGGCAAGATCAGCAACGGCTGGGAAGGAAGCAGCTCATGGCATCAGGTGCTATTAAATTCTGTTGTCATGAGTTATGTTGTTCAATTAATATCATGGATAAGGGGTGCTGATCTTTGATGCATTCTTTTTAGTAGTGTGCCTGTCATAAGAATATTATTAATTTGTATTTGAGCACTGGTAAAATAGATTCTGATCTGTAAAATTTATGTTGTTGTGTACAGTGAGAATAAAGTGAATGCCTTGGTAGTGATAATTATACTTTAGGGGCTCAAAAGTCAAAATCCCAACAATTCTATCTCTCAGAAATTATAAAAAGGTATTGGAACTTGCAGCTTTAATGGGGTTGTTTTAGTTAGCCTCGAGCTGCGACATTAGGGCATATGAATCTTTGCTTGACCATGCTCAGACTTGTGTTTCATGACCATAGATGATCCTGTAATACTAACATAAGTAGTTATTCAGATGTATTTTTTTCTCCTGCCTTAACATACATGCAAACCCAAATTCTGCAATTGTAAATATCGTCCTTGATGCTTTATTTGTTTTCATTATTTTTATTGTTACTATGTGTACAGAGAAAGTCCTTCAATAATTAAGGAAGTAAAGGGAGCCCCTAGACAGTTGACCTCAAGTGTAGGAAAGACTGCCAGTAGGAATTCCGCAGGTCGTATTACAATTTTTCACCGAGGAGGTGGAGCAAAGCGGTTGCATCGAAGGATTGATCTAAAGCGAAGCACAGTAGCTATGGGTGTTATAGAAAGGATAGAGTACGACCCTAATCGTTCCTCGCGGATTGCGCTAGTACGATGGGAGGGTAGAGACCTGCATATGAAGAAATCCAAACCAGTAGAACAGTTTGCCCCTCCAAAGAAGATTCTCGAACCCAGCACAACCAACATGTGTGGCCTGTTTCCACTCTCTACCCTATCTCTGCAAGTAGATCAGAGAAAGGTTGTCTACTCTCCTGGACAGAATGCAGCTCATGCAGTGGTTGGCCTTCAAACTGCAATCCCTTCTGGGTTGAAGAGTCTATCTACTAGTGAAAATGCAGAAAGCAAAAATACTTGTGCAAGGGATGTCTTCTTATCTGCTTTTTCGACTCCAAAGCCCAAGAGAGCGACCACATCATTCTCTCTTAGCGGTTCTCTTAATTGTCCAAGAATAGCAGTGGCTGGGGCAAAGCCAACCTTTTTTGCTCCACAATCGAGGGAGAAAGGAGGAGGAAAAAGCACATTTTCTCTTGGCGAGGTCCAAAAGTGGAACAAGCGTAGCAGTATCTGGACAAATAGAATGAAAAGTAAAGCAGCGATTTCTTGGCGAAGTTTTAAGTGGCATGATACATTGGGGTTTGTTGGAGCTGCTGACAGTAATGAATCAAGGCCTGAAAATGATAATGTCTCCAAACCATCGAAGTAAAAGCAGTAGTTACTACCTTGCTTCATTAAACAAAGGGCAGCTAGGCCATACTGCAAGAGACAAGGAGTTGATGCAGGATTAATATGCTGCAAGACAGCACGTTGAAGCACTAATAATAATTCCATGCAACTTTATTTACTTGATTTTGTAGTAACTGGTTAGACAATCTTATGAGTTTTTGTAAGGAATATTTATTTTTTCTTTATCCGGCTTAGCTTGGATGTTTAAGTGGACAGACATGAAGATTTTGATGGTTATGATGTTGCCTTGTATGCAAAAACAGGAAGAAGGCATATTGATAACTTAACAGAAATTTTCAGTTTACAACAATGCAAAGTGCGAAAGTTTTGCTTTTTATATTTTCTCGCATATTCTGAGTAATCAAACAGAAAAAAACTTCAGTTTAACAGTGAATCGCATGTCCCCAGTTTGAGCAAAAGAAGAATGACATGTATTTCTATATTAACTGAGCAGAAAATTGATTCTTACGTTAATTTTCAAGGATTTGTCTTGGGTTCCAAAAACGAGGGTAGCGTTATTTTGTTGGTCGTAAACAAACGACCAGGCGTCTAAATTCAGTGAACACTCATTTGTTTTTATTCTTTTCTTGACAGTGGCGGCAATAAGGCGGCGACTGCTATTGTCTTTTATATATATGAACATACCAAACAAAACAAAAACCTTCATAGCCCGCGAGTCTTCATTTTTCTTCTTCAAGCTTCTGGAAATTACAGTTGCAGTTATGGTAAGTTGCTAGATTTTTGTACATGGTTATGTTTTGCTTGTTGCCCAGTTTTCTTCGTTCATCGCAATTTAGGAGAACCGCGATTGATTCTTAGGGAAAGATTATTGTTTTCCCCCCCAATTTTTTTTTCTCTCCATTATGCCTTAGTTTTAAGGTTAGGGTTTTGGCTCATTTTATTTGTTTTAGATAAAACGCCAGAGCTTGGTTGCTAAGGAATCAATCATATAAAGAATTGAGAATAATCGCTAATTTTAAAAGATTACAAGCTTCGAAACTCCAAGTTGCTTTCTTGAACGATTTGATTTTAAGTGTGATGAACATTTGTTTCCATTTGGAGTATGGAATGTTGACACATAAACAGTGATGGTTTTTCAAAGGCGTTGCCATGAATGATCGTTTGAGCTGTTTTAGCTGTCTAGTGAAGTTATGAGTGCAATATACTGCTTGGGTTTTCCGACTGATCTACTTTTTATTTCTATGAATTGATTTCAGGTAATATTAGCCTAATTAACTGAAACTCCCATGCTTCTTCGTTTGTGCAATGTACTGACAATCTTGAATACTTGAAATACCTGCTGTTTGTATAACTATAATAACCCATTTGGATTTCTTACATCTTTAGAAAGAAGAATCTTATTGCTGTATGGTGAAGATATAAAGAACTGGCCCATAAACGAACTTGATTACTTGGAATGGAGATTTTGTTGTAACTTGAATGATGAAGGTTTTACCGTGTGTTTTTCTGTGCATGATGCTTTTGTTATGTTATCGATATCTTATCAATGAGTTTAAACGAAATGGTAATCAGGTGTCAGCGTTCATAGCAGGCGTTGCAGTAGCTGCTGCTGCTTATGGCGGCAGATACAGCATCCAGGCTTGGCAGGCGTTCAAGGCAAGACCACCAACTGCTAAGTTACGCAGATTTTATGATGGTGGTTTTTATTCTGTCATGACAAAGAGGGAAGCAGCTCTAATACTTGGAATCAGGTACTGTTTACATCTTATGTTGTGAAAGGCATTCTTGATATTGGTAGCATCGGTATCTAATATTCTTTGAGATGTGCAAGTAATGACAATTTGCATTTGGATGGTTCATCAATATGTTGAGAGGTATTTTAAAACGATGATGCCTAAATCTTGAGTTATGGAAATTGATTACATCAACATAAATAAAGGTCTCCAGTGAGGTGGAGCACTTATCTAATTAGCATACTTTACTGCATATCACACTACATGAAATTGAACTATCAAAAATGAGCTTTTGACAAAAAGGATAGTTATAACTAGCCAACAACTGACTACTGTGGCAGCTTCGTATCTATCAATAGCAATACATAGAACGGAGAGATTGAGTAGCACCCTTGGTTCCTTTTTTTAATTCTTTAAGCAGCGACTTCTCTCAAAGTAGCTCACCAAGCTTGAATCTTATTGAGATTAGATTAATTAATTAGCTAAATGATAATGAGTTACTTCATGTTTGTTTAGTTAGTTATCTGCAAAGCTCCTAACTTAGGGACATGTATCACTGCTACAGCTGTTTTCTTCCAGAAAATGTTGTGCAGTAGGTGTTGTCTAGTCTTTTTATGACTTACTAGTATTTAGCTGTAGAGCTGCACATAAAGGAACAATAAGAGGAAGAGAGAATGAGAATCTTATTGTTCAGCCGTCTTTTTACATTGACTCTACTAGTACTTATAACTTGAGCTCACATGCTAACAGATTACAGAAAACATTCATAACTAATTAAACTAATTCTGGTCGGCAGCTGTTTATGGAAGTCTAGAATTTCCGTGCTGTTCTTCCCTCCATTTCTAGAGGCTTGTTCATTTTATAATTAGTAGCTCCAGTGTTTCATTTATACCATTCACCATCTAAATCAAAAGAAGAGCTGTCAGAAGCTTGTGAAATACATTGATACAATATCTGCATTCTCTTAAAGGGAGATGTTGTTGCTTATTTGCTTTACCCCTTGCAATCAGCGACACATCTTTGCTTTTGAGGCTGGAGAAACAGGGTCCATTTCATTCATATTCCTAGATATCAGTTACTTTGCCTCCTAGATTAGCTGCCCAAGATGGTGGCTGTGTCAGAGACTTGAGTTCAAATGACTCTTATCTCGACCACCTTCTTGACCTTTATCCATAATGGAGGAGTGCTTACTCTGCTTTAGATATATTTATGGATGTGCCTGCTTTCTTTTGTTCGAGTTACAACGCCAAGTCTCCTTTTGCATGTGTGATTGAAATTATCTACATGCATTCTTCTTCTTTACAGTTTTGTATCTGTTTTGGTTGATTCTCGCTGATTATTTTCCCCTCCTATAGAGAAAGTACTCCAGTGGATATGGTTAAAGAAGCACATCGGAGAATGATGGTTGCAAACCATCCAGATGCAGGTGGTAGTCATTACCTTGCTTCTAAAATAAACGAGGCAAAAGATCTTTTGCTTCGAAGAGAAAAGGGTGGTGGATCTGCGTTTTGATGCCACTGATTTATTGCATCTCCGTAGATCAGTCTGCAATAGTTCTGGAGGATTCGAAGGCAACACATCATATTCTTGAAATTGCAGTGATTAAAAATTTGAGGGTCTTTGTGTAATAAATTTCTATTTTGGACCTCATATAGAGAATATTCATAACTGATTAAATTGCCAGATGTATACCGTAATAACACAATTTCTAAAGGTTTTTTCGATTTTAATTTAGCAACTGATCCAGTGTTTCACTTGTATCATACACCATCTAAATCAATAGAAAAATTTACCTTAATTTGCTCGAATTACACAACCAGGTCACTTTTTTTTGTTATTTAACTTTTTCATATGCTTTCTTCTTTACATCAATGCATTTCAGGTCGTTGATTCTCACTGATTATTTCCCCCTTCTAGAGATTATTGACCCAGACTTTTAAGAACATAAGATTGTCATTCACATGGCATGCTGTATTTGACCAAATCCCATTTAGAAAATAATAGATTCTCTCTTCCACAAGGAATCTATGTCCAAATGCATTGCTCAAACAAGTTTATTATTACATCTTCTGATCAGGATTTCAGAACATCAAAATGTAAACTAATTAGTCGCAGATAAACCAAAGGGCATATACAGATTAGTGCAATCCATCAAAAGGACATTTCTCATAAAGGCAGAGTTCAGTTGATTCTCAAATAAGGTGAAAATTTCATAGAAATAAGAATCAGATGGCACCGTCTTGAAAGAATATAGACTGGGTCCTACATAGGTAAAGGGTTAATACTATAGATGCATCATAAAAAACAGTAATGAAAATCCACCTCTATAAGTAAATGGAAAACCTTCATTGAGATTTGCTGCCTTTCTGCTTTTAACTGCTCTCCTTAAAAAGTGCTCATCTCCAAAAGTATGGAAACAAAATAATGCCTCAAGAGTCTCATCTGCTGCTCCACTAAGCTTAGGAGCAACCCGTAGTTGTGATATTTACATCAGAAAACAGCCCAAAAAAAAGGGAGGGGTATGTCTATAATCACAGATCATCCTGTAGCGAAATCTGGGAGGATAATACCTCTTCGATCTCTTCTTCAGATGAAGTTTCATTACTTTCCACCATGTCAAGAGGACCTTGAGCCTCTCCAAAAAGAGTAGAGAATATCTGCCTATGGCATACATCACAGAAATAGAAAAAGGAAAAGTGGCCTTCATTTGGAAGCTTATGCAGGATAGCGCCATGTAGAACCCGGCTTATGTAGTTAGTCATTGACGGTGGAGCTACTTTGTCGTCCATCCCCTGTTCAGCATCAATGATGATAAATATTAAAGAAGGGCAAAGTTGTGGCTTACCTATTAATTAATTGAATAACAGAAAATTCTAATTTTTACATATTATAAGGATTACAAATTCACTAATTCAAGAGCATATCTAAGCTGCTTTGCCATGAATCATGAGTACAGAATAGACGGTGCAAAATCAGAAGATTTTGGTTTTAGATCACATTTGACACTGGCTTTCTTAAGGAAGGATAAGAAAAAAGAGGGAGGAGACAGATAAAGGGTGAACTCAAACTAATTCATTACTGCAAACAACTCTCCAAGATGGATTGCATTTAAATGAATTCATTCAAAGTGATTGTCCAAGCTCCAAATCCTAGATATTTTCAGCAAACAAATTTTGAACACTTAATGTTTTGATATGATAGTTTCAACTAGCACACATCCACAAGGCAGAGAGCATATGCAGTGGTCACAAATTTGTCAAAATGAAATGAAAACTTGATGTTCTTATGACGTTAGATTCTAACAGTCATTCACAATCCAAATAAATTATACCAACCTATCACAATGCTATGCTGCAACAAACTATAACACAGACCAACAAACCGATAATTATCAAGGACATTGCATGCAAACCTGCCATATATGCAGTGGACCAAGAAATCCAGCCAATTCACATTCTGCCTGACTGTATATTGACCTGATCCAAAGAAGAATGCCTTTCTTCTGACACTTTCGCTGCACATTAAGATCCGTCAAGCTGAAACCCCAGTTTGACACCTGTAGTACAGCTTCCTCAATGAATGGTTTTGTAATCCCTTGGCGGATTGCCTCCTCCACATCCCTATGCCAAAATTCTTCAAATGTTGGCTCCTCAATCAGAATTTCATCCTGAATGAGAATCAATCTTTTAGTTTACAAATTACCATATTAAGTCAACACTGCATAATCAGTAGTTAAGAAAGGCAGCCCATCTAGGGAACAGGTAATCTTTGAAATAATCCATAACTTGTACTGAGTAGTTTTTTTGAGTATGTAGCAACAAACCAATTGCAATGCATTTTGCCAATAAAAAAGATCAGTTTTTATGGAAGATAGTTATAATCTCATTAGAAATCAATCTTCAAATAAAAGCAAAAGGCTCTCAATTGGAGATGCAAATGGAAAAGTTTGGACAGGCTATTAATCCTTAAAGAAGTAACCCAAGATGACAAAAGGCCAACCTTCCTTCCAACCGACTGAGACATCCAATTATCAATTCGACCATGAAAACCAGATAGGAAGCTTCTGCGATAAAAGGAAGATAGAAATTTCGGAAATTTCCGAGCTAAGAAGTACATTAATTTCCTTTTTGTTGACCAATGTTCCCATGTTCTTCTCATTTCTTCCTTTGTCATACTTGCCTCGTAGGGATTAATCATGGGGGAAATCATGGCAGCACCTGCAATTTCATTAAGACAATCACAATAGGTCATATTACATTATTAAGCTGCTGTATTCATCTTATTAACTAAACAGGAAAAAACACAGATGATGGACAATATTCTCATTTATGTATTATCTTTAAATTACAAAAAAAACCCATAAACATATAAATTGTAAAATGGCGCCCATAAGCCTGAACATGCCAACTAATTTACCTATGAAAATAAAAAATTATCAAATTGATAAAACAAAAAAAAACCTTGTTGTACCAGCAATTCTTTCAGGGATATATCTGAGAGCAGCCCAAGCATGCATGCTTCCACTCGAGTAACCCAGCACCCAAAACTTGTCATTAACACCAACAGCATTTGCTAGGTACAGCATGTCCAGTGCTGATGAGTTAAGATTTCTGGTGGGATGAGGGTCACTCTCCCCAAAACCAGGAAGGTCATATGTGATCAAGCGAACACCAAATTCTTCAAGTAGTGATGTTTTAACTCCAGGTATACCTTGATATGAAATTTTATTTAGAAAATTGCTATCAAACGAACTTTTGTCCAGTTAAGTCCCACGAAATCTAGTTCTTTGGAGAAAAAAAGACTAGTAATTGCTTTATACCTGCTAGTCGAGAAGAAAAAAAAGAATGTGGAGCAATGATAGAAAATCTTGCTCTGTTGGCAGGGACACCATTTTCATGATAAGCTATGTGTCTACCATCTGGAAGCAGTATACAATTAGCACTAGGAGGATGTATGCGCACTCTCTTTACTGGTGGGAGCGAGCTATCATGTGTAGTATTCACACTCAGTACTGCATATTGTTTAACATCAATAAAATACATAATTAATCATATCTCTTTTTTTTTTTTATTTTGGGTGCATGCATAATGGATCACATCACAAAGGTAAACAGCAGAAGCAATTTACAAGTCTCCATTTCAATTTAGAACAGTAATTTGAAATACCTTTCTAGTGTGTGTATATATATTAAGGCCAACGAGAGAGACAGCAAATCCAATGATAGAGTTATATCTATATTTTTTAAGTTTGCGTGAAATCTTAAAATATAAAAGATGGAAATGTAAATTGAAGGGGGGGAAAGGCATTTAAATGCAGGGATAACTGAAGTTGCTGGGATTTATATGCAGCATCACTACCTTAAGCTTTTTTTTGCAGCACAGACAACAGACGTAAAAATTGATAACTCCAATTAAAGGATCTAAGCCAATCACCTTCCTAGCAGATTTGTATTACGATAGTAATAATAAAAAAGCTAAAATTCTTCTAATTCCTATGCATACACATAGATCAAATTTAGCAGCATTCCTTGCAAAATATGAAACTAATTAAATAGCTTATATGATAATAAAGTCAGATACTTTTTACCAAAAAAATGATAAATTTAGATACTTTCTTAATGGCAAGTGTAATTTATAATATATACCAGTAAGCGCGAGAATAGTAACGAAGAAAACCACAGGCCAAGCATGGGCAGGGTCACGATCCTCAGGCAAGAACTCGTTCAAGAACTTGAATCGGTCCGACACCTTAGCCATTGGCTTCCCAACCTTTTGCACTATAAATGAATCCTCAGTAACCAAAGTCTGTTGCGCAATATCCTTACAACCTCTCCCTAAATCCAAGAGCATCTCTCCCCATGATTTCAAAAACCCCGTCACTTGCTCCTTCAAACTCTCCGTTTTCACTTCTTCGTCTCCGGCGCCATATTCACCAACGAATCCCGATTTCCTAAATGCAGGCGCCGAAATCCCGATTGGTTCAGCGGCAGCAGCAGCATACCTTATACCGGTATCCTCCACCAAACTAGCCAGCTCCTCCGTCCACGTGTTACCTCCTTTCATCTCCGCCATTCTCGCTAAAACCAACAGCCACTCCACTTAGCAACTCGAAAAAGCTACACACACATATATATACTGAAACTGAAACTTTAGAAGCGTGATTTTCAAGTCTGCATTATTTAATCCAAAAAGGAAAACCCTAACCGACCATTGTTAAAAACGAATCAAAATCTTCTTAAAAAAAAGGCATAAAAGCCAAAAGCACCAGTCTTTGCTGTTACTATCAGATTACACAGAAACTGTTGGCTCTGACGATAATTTGATCTATCCAAACACCTCTACTTTTTTTTTTTCTAACTTTTTCCATGATATTGACTCCTTAACTAATCCTTCACTCTCTTGCTCTCAACTCTTCAACCATTTTTGCTGGTTTTGGAGAGCGACACCATTTTGATGGACAGATGGTGAGGATTTGTCCACATAAGTCAACTTTTTCCTACTACGCCGACGCCGTAGTCTTTACGGTGGTTTTACCGGTTAGACCGGTGGCGTGTCTGGCGGTTGGAACCTGTTATTACCGGTTGTTGCGTATGGAACTGACGTGTCAATGAGAAATGTGCGGTGGATGCATGTGCACGAGGAATGTTCTTTCCAACCTTTTCTTTTTTTTTTTTTTTTTTAACTAGACCGGTCGCGCCTTGTCTCGCGCGGTCTTGGCAACCTGTTCATTACCGGTTGTTTGCGCTTATGCGGAAACTGACGCGTGTCTAATGAGAACAGCTGCGCGTGGGATGCATGTGCACAGGAACTGTTCTTTCCAACCTTTTCTTTTTCTTTCTTTTTTTTTTTTACACGAGCTCTTCTCGATGAATCCAAAAACAGCGACGAGTATGCCTTCCTTGGCATCTTGTCCGTTTCGTTGTTAGTCATGCACTGCTTTCTATAACCTTTTTTTTTTTTTTTTTTTTTTAACGAGCTTTCATGAAATCAAACAGGAGAGTATGCCTTCCTTGGATCTTGTCCGTTTGTTGTTAGTCAGTGATGCTTTATTCTTATCTGAGGGCTGAAATTTCATGATAAGGTATGAGTGGGACACTTAAATATTTTCATTTTTAGTAGTTTTCAGGTCGTTTGCCCAAAAGTTTCTGTTGAGTATTCGGTTCGGTTACTTTACAGATAATTCGGTTTGATTCGATTAAAATACGGATTTTCGGTTTTCTTGCGAAAAAAACTGAATTCCCAAAAATTGTGAGTTTTACCTATGCTGAAAACGCAGTGTTTTAGTTTTTAGTTAGTCTTCGAACACCGCCGGTGATCACCGCCACACCAGTTCTTATTTTGCTGCTGCTCCACAAAAATTACTCATAGCGTCGAGCAGCTCGGCCTTCACGCCGCCGCTGCCTTTGAAGTTTGCGCCACTCCATCACCTTCACTTTCCGGTCGGCATTCACTTTCGTTCTCTTGTTTTTACCGTCGCGCAGGATTGTCTCAGGCAATTTAATTTTAATTATTTTTAGCAGAGTTCCGTTTTAGTTTGTTGGTGTTTGGTGCTTGGTACTATTGCCTTGAAAATATGTATATTTGATCATTCTTTTATCATGTGAAGGGAAAGTTTGATAATCTAAACTTAGCATTGAAATTTTTTGTTTGGTTATCAAATGTAGATAACTTGTGCGAACCGAAAACAAAAAAATTTGTTTATTCAGTGGGAAAGTTCTAAAATTTAACCGTATATTGTCATTTGTTTTAGCTACATGTCTAACCCTTTTTTTTTTCTTTTTACCTCAAATTCTTGTTTTGCGTATGTAATCTACGATTCGAGATTGTAATTGGTAGTTGCCTAATTTCTTATTAAGTTTGGTTTTCGCCATGAATAGAGTCAAAAGCTGAACGAACTTAGCTGCAATGAATACGAAAACAGTTGCTGAGGATCAAAGAAAACGCACTTTGGATGCATTAGAGAGAAGGTTTGCTGTAGCCAAAGCTGAGCTGCTTCAGCAGCAAAAGAAAAGCCAGAAACAGAGACCCAATGATGAAGCTAGTAAAGAAAACAACAACATCACTAGCTCTTCTTCTGTTGCTTCTCTAACACCAGCTCCTGCTCCAATCACTCCGTTATTGAATAGCTCAGCCAAAAAAGGTTCTTCTTTTAAATGGCTAATTGTATTTTATAATTTGATTGTTGTATTTATAAGTCCTTTTGTCATGTTAATTTGAGTTCTTTGTGTATCCATTTGGATAGGTCTGCATTTGAATTTGTATTCCAAGTGTAAAACCTTACAAAACCAAATGATGTTAAATCCAAATACTCTTATTTCCGATGACTATTATCCCAATTGTCTCTTTTTGCATTTCTAATTTGGCCTGGGAGAAAAAATAAAATTGCACTCAATTTTGTAGGTGCGTATGATTTTTTTGCCCTTATTGGTTTAGGCTGATAATTACTGTTTATCATTGTGTATAGATATGGAGGAAGATGGTCCGGCATATTCACAGCTGTCCTATCCTGTACACGAGAACCTTCTTACAACAAATGTCAAGGTACTCTTTCGCTATCTGAACTTAGATCCTTAAAACTGCTTCTATTGATTTGTTTATTTAAGTTTCTCATTTGCCGTTATTTTGCAGTTTCAAAGTAAAAGAGGAAGCATGGTGGACATGATTTTACATGAACTACTGCAACATGGTGACTCTGCTCAAAAATATCTGCAAGGATCCAGAAGTAAGAAAATCGATAACTGGATCCTTCTTGATAATTATGTACAAGGGCGTGGCAAGCCTACCAATTCTCATATTAGGGCTTTGAGAACCCACTCAAAGCGCTCTAAAAAACACATGTCTATGAAGCAACATAAGAAGTGTGGATCATTTTATTTGCCCCAAGATCTTCAAAAGTGAGTTTGTTACTACTTATTCTGAAAATTTAATTTGCAGTTTAAGTATATTTAGATGTTTCTGTAGGTCTGGTGGAGGACAATAATATAGTAGTAGTGGATATCCTCATCAGTCAAAAAATGAAAGAGACAATTGTCATAAAATAACTTAAGTCGAATTCTTTTTTATTCGCTTACAATACTACATCCTGAACATTAGTTGTTTGAGTTTGCATTGCAGGTTTGATGTTTTTAAGCCAATGCATGAGATGTGGAAAGGCTACATGACACAGCTTCTCAAAAATAATGGGTGAGATATTCATACTACTTAACTTTGTTCGTGTTGCTTTTGTACAATTCCTTGCACGTAGTTTGGTCTGTGGATGTTGTACCATACTTAGATTCAATCTTGCAGGAGAAATCAGTTGGCTCAATGTCTTCTGAGTGCAGATCTGCATGGTGCTATTATTCTAGGTTGGACTCCTTTCCATGGCATTACTTTAGATGAAATATATCCACTGAAACTTTAAAGGTTTGCTGCTTGTTGTGCATTCTTGTGCCTAATTATGTTAGCCTGTTTTAATTTTTGAACCAACTCTAGGGCTGCAAATCTTAATGGCTAGTGTATCAATAAAACCTTGCTCAGTCACTTGTAAGTTCAACTAAGTTTTACTATATCCTTAATTGAGAAATAATGAGAGAACTATTCAAATTTATGTTGCTGAAGAAAGCTTCAGTAGCGGGAAACCACAGTTGTAGTTGACAAATTTCCATTGATGGTTTGGATGTGTACCCTATAAGTTTCTTTTGGTGGATGCTCTAGTGAGTCATGGAGTTTATTAGGGACAACCAGAATATTCAGCTCCAGCTTATATTCAATTGGATTTTTCTCATGATGGAGTGTGTATAGATGATTTATTGTTATGTTTTGTAGGCAATGGATTTGAACCATCTAGAATAATGCAGTTGTAAATGAACCTCTGCACTAATCAGCACTAGAGTGTTAATGTAATCTAATGGCCAAATGAAATTTAACCCCCATGCCCCTCGTTTTTGTACTGGTTCTTGTTCGAATTCTATGTTATTCATATGCTTGATAAGCTGCTTTAACCTCTCTGTCTATTTTCTGCAGTTGCTGACTGTAAGATAGTGTCTTTCACTGGAGTTAGTGGTATAATGATTCGGGAAACAGCAGAAACATTTGGGATAATAACACAAGATGATAAGTTTCGGGGTAATCTATTTTGCTTCTTTCTAATTTCAATGACATTTGATTATACTATGGTGCAAATTTAAAAACTGCTGTTTCAGTCCTAGCTGAGTTTTTTCCTGAGGTAAGAAATTTAAAAATTGTCTGAAAGAGTGGATACAATCTCTCATAGTCAATACATGAGTGTAAAGCTTACCCTTTTTTGGGTGATTTGCAGTTGTGCCCAAAAAGTATTCCATTTTTATATTCCAAGTTGATTGCTGGAAGATCACATTGCAAGGGGACAAACTGACTTCGAGAAATCTGGGTTTGTGATAATCATATTCCATCTTCCTCGGGAATTCTTTTCATGGTCAGCAAAGATAATATTAATTGCATTTTATCATAAACTAGATTGTTGAACAAAAGTTATATCAGTAGGCATACAGAATCAAGGATAAATTTTTGTTAAAAGTGTGAACTGCTTACATCTATATTATTTTTACATGCTAATAAGTATATATATTGTTCTAGTAAACAAATGAACTTCCATTTGTTTTCTTATATTGTATTATTCGAAAGTTTTGCCTTTTCTTAACTTCTCATAGTGTCACCTCTTCCTTGGCAAGAAATCATAGACACCCTGTAACAATGTTTCTTGTATTGCATCAGTCTTGCAGCAAGTGGCCCAACCCTACTCAAATTGATGAGCAGAAACTAATGGTCTATAGCATGGTTTATAGAGAAAGCGGGTGGAACTCACCAGATTGTGCATAAAGGAAGCAAAGCATGCCTTGCGATCTGTCTTTGACTGAAGGAATAGAATGAACCATTTCAAATCCCACACATAACGAAATTTCTCACCTTATTATGGATTTCATTCTTATGGAAAACGAGTTGCTTTTGTTGAAGATTGTAGAACTTCAACATCTGTTTTTAACGGTCCTTTAAATGTGTTTCATGTTTTCCTGAATTAAATGCTGCTATATAATTACTTTGTACTGGAAAAATTTATTCCCCTTGCTTATTTCTTCCTGGCAAACTTACAGAATTGTACATATGGTTGAACATTATAAGACTGGTGAACTGTCAATGTGTATTTAGTGTATTATTTCCAGGTTGAGAAAATCTTAGGTAAATTATATCTGTAAGGTTAGCTATAGACTGAGTGTAAAATTTGATCATGGTGAATCTGTGATTTTTTTTTTTTTCTACCATTCAAGTAAATGTGAAATCGTAACTTCTGTTATTGCTTTATAACAAGTAACAATATATCTCACTTTGGTAGGATTATTTTAAGGTTGACTGGTAGATATAGGTTCTATTCTGGCCGCATGTCACTGCTTTAATGATTTCATTACACACTGGAGTGGTAATCCATATTTTTGAATCAATTGGTCAGAGGACAATCTCTCAAGGGACCTTACCAATTTTAATGGCGGGGAGTGATCCTGCCAAGCTCTTGTCATCACATCAGAGGGTCCAAATTATGGTTTTGTTGCATTTTCTTATGGCATGACAGGGCAGTTATGGGTTATGGTACTGAAAAACTAGGGAAATGTTGAAGAGCTCTTGAAATTAGTTGACACTGGGGAGCAACAGATAATTGTTTATTTGTATCTTTGGATTATCCTTTGAAGTTCATACTTTAGCTTCGCTGGAAATAATTAAAGATTTGGAACGAGCATAGTTATAGAAAGCTCAAGCAAGTGCACTGTAGAAAGCTCGAGCAAGTGAATGAGCCCCTACATATAATGACTACATTAATAAAATCTTACCATCTTTAATAACAGAACCGAATTCCGATATATCAATAGAATTAGATTGTAAAGAAAAACAATATTCTGAGAGTCGGTATAGATGCAAACAGGGGATAAAAATTTATCTTTAATCCAAAAAAGAACAAGTTCGAAGAGCCAAAGCTTCCACTAACAATGGGTCTTGAAGACTTTCAGTAAAATACAGAGATTGATTGGCATGAAATACAAATAATCCCATTATTTATTGCAGGAGCAAGAAAATCCCATTTACCTCGAAGAACAAATAATCTCTCCCTTCACAAAGAGGGATTGGCATGGTGATTTTTCCTTTTTGACTTCAAAGGCAGTTTCCCTGCGCGAGTAGGGGAAGCTCTTTCTATGGAGGTAGTGCTTAACTTGGGTCTGAAGCACTTGATAGTTGAGCTTGGGTGGCACAGTAAAACTGCTAGTATAGCCACCATTAGGCATTTTTCAATCATTGTTTCTTTTTGGAAGGGCAGTTTCCTTTCTAATACACTTAATATAACACCTTAGAAATTTTCTTCTTTTGCTTCTTCTACCCTAAAAATTTGCCTAAAATTTAATTCAGTCAACCAAATTTTTGAAAATTGAAAATTGAAGAAAAAACGTTTAAATGTGATTCAAGATCAATTCAAATCATATTTATGGCAAATGTGTAGCATTAGTGTTTTAGATTAATAGGAAAAAAAAAGAATTTGAGGTTAAAACTCACATATAAAACAAATTTAATGCAATAGCTATTAGCAACAAAAAAGACAAAAATGTCATTTTTACTGTTTTATCTCTTTTAGTGTTTTAATAAAAACAAAAGGTAGTTGCTATACATAGAAGGAAGTCCAGCAGATACTTAGTCAAAAAATGTTAATTAGCCATATTATGTTTTTCCCACATTAAATTTTCTTAAAAAAGAGTAAGTATGTCCCACCATAAAAATTGAGTTGTCACATTGCTTTTGTTGGTTGATTGTTGTTCAAGACTAATTATCAAACATCACAAACCCACTATGTCATTATATGTTGCTTTCACTCTAAACAAAGCAAACACTTTGAACATATATGTATGTGTGTAATATATCTTATGTCTTTAATTTATATATATATAAATATATATACACAGAGAGTCTTGGATTAATATTCAGAAAGAAGGGGTGGGCTAAAAGGTATTATGATTGTGATCCACCCATGTTAAGTCTTTCAATTATTGGGCCCCCAAAAGATTTTTTTTTTAATTGTCATTTATTCAGTTTGAGTGCTTTAAAGCAATCAAATGTGCATTTAAAATCTCAAGTAAACAATTATCATATGTGGGAAACATGTGGCCTAAGTGTCATGTGACAAGTAACATTTTTGTTGTGGTGGGTTTGTTATGTTGCTGTCAAGTCGTAACTAATTCTGATATATGGTAGTTAATGATTTGCTTGATCCTCACCCATGGTTAATCTTCAATCTATCTGGGGGCCCCAAAAGATTTTTTTTTTATTGTCAATATTAAATTCAGTTTGAAGTGCTTTTAAAGCAACTTCAAATGTTGGCATTTATAAATCTCCAAGTATAACCAATTTCATATGTGGGAAACATGTTTGGCCTAAGTGTTCATGTTGGACCAAGTACAATTTTTTGTTGTTGGGTGGTTTTTTTGGTTATGTTGCTGGTCAAGTCGTACACTAATTCTTGAAATATACTAATTATATTATATATATATATATATAAGCAAACGCATGCATTGCCCTGGTTTTGGACGGTTTCCCACTAAAGTTAATTTGGCTTACACCAGCAAGAACAAAGAAGGGCTCAAGTAAATACTCAGGTAAATTATTGATATTGAATATCCCTGATGCCATATACAGGAAGTATAAATGACCACCTTTAACAGATTCCATGTCCGGTTCTACATGCATACATGACATACCAAAATGGTTGGAGTGTTTCAATCAAGAGTTGTATGTCCAATACCTTTCAAATCTTAGACTAATTAAAACAAAAGAGAGAAGTTAAAATAAACATTTTTCAGTGAATTTTGAGGCAACCTGTTGATTTAGCCTTCCTTCAGGGAGGATTTATATAATATTTTAATTATTGTATAATCAAGAAGTTAATCTTCCTCCGAACTATATAAGACGAATTTTTTACATTCCTAACAACGCATGTGGGCTTTTTCGAACGTCGGATTTTTATATTTTTTTACTTTTATAAAATCGAGTTTTCGCTAATCACATAAGTTAATTTTTCTGCAACTTAATTAAGCTAAGTAAAAAGTCTTTTTAACGAGGTATTCAGCCAAATAATGCAGATTTATGATCAGTATTGGCAAAACTGAAATGAAAGTGAAAGAAACAAGAAGAAAACCAACTGTGGAAGTTTTAAGCAATGTGGTGGATCCCAACTATTATGGATTTAATATTTTTAACTTTAAGGAGAATTATTAAGGGACGAATAATTATGGTTCTAGTTTCCCTTTTTGGCTTTGACAACACAGGATTTCCATTTTTAACATGGGTAAACTTTCCTCTTTTTGAACAGTCTATCCACCCTTTTTGGAAGAATTGGTTTTTTGTCATTTCTTGGGTCAATTAGCAAAAGCAAATGGAAGATAGAAGAATTTCTAAATATTTTGATAACTTTTATCAAAAATTTGTTCTTCCTTAGCAGCTTCTTGTTACTTTGAAATAATTTCAAACATTATTAAATTGTTGTTTTCCATTTTTGGGAGTTTTTAGTTTACATTTTGTTTATAAACATATCGAGAAAATGGAGTATGCAGAAATTGCAAAACACAGTGGATTCATCTGAAGTTTGAAATTAAAAATGGATATAATACAGTAGAGGTGGTGGGCAATAGTTCTGTGCTTATGATTATCAGTTGATCTTTTGTTTTCTCTATCATTTGTTTTTTCCCCCACTCGACGAAGTAACAGAAAAGACAAAACTAAGACGGGAAAGGGAGACTTTGGGAAGTGACTCAGTAAGGTACATCTGAAATGAAAGCCAACCTCCTCTAAGCATATGCAGCCCATAAGAACCCCTGTTTTTGGGCTTTAGCTTAAACTAAGGGTTTCGTGGGCTTTTGAAAATCTTCCTCTTCAAAATTTTCAGCATAAATAACTAAATACCAGTCAGCCCTAGTCAAAGCTTAAGCACTTTTCCTAGGAAAAGAGACATCCCTCAGGTAAGGAAAACTCCGGATGTTTAATTTTGTTACTGAATGTCCCGTTTGGTTTAGGTACCGATTTTTTTTCACTTGTTTTTTCCTCCTGAGGTGTTCTTATTCATTGTTCTTGAAGTTTCCTGTATAATATATTGTTTGGAGGTTTTTGACAGAAAATTTGACGATTACAATTTTCAATGGTTTTTCAAAAGAAGGCTGCTTTGTTTTTTAAAGTGACTGTGTTTTGCCAGTATTTATCCTTCTTTTTGACTTTCTTTTTACGAAAGAAATGTCCTTTTCCTTGGGTAAAGTTTTGGATGGCTTTGGTATATGAAATGGGTGGGGAGTCTTCTTAGTTTATTATGCAGAGCTTTGGAAACATGGATGGTTCTTATTTTTGTTCTGAATATAATTTCTGCCAGCAGAAACCAAAACTTTGATCTTTTTTTTTTTTTTTTTTGGTTTTACTCACCTCAACAGCATTCGGAATTTTAACAATTTGGAAAAAGCAAAACTTTCGAAAACCTATTCGTTTGCCTTTAACTTGGATCTCTTGTGTTCACTCTACCTGTTTTGTAGCTTAATTTTCTTTTTGTGGGTCTTTTTGTTTTAGATCAGTGGTTACAGATTTAGTCGCAAGCCCTTGGAAAATGGCTTACCCTGGGCCTTCTTTTTAGATGCTAAGTGGTTGCAGATGCTTTATAGTGTTTTAGCCACACAAGAAAAGACCTTTCAAATGCGGTTTGTCCAGGAACGTGTCTATGAATGGCTTTCGAATGTTGTTTAGTTGGGTTGTTTGTTTTTTATTTTCTTTATTCAATTTATTGTCCCATATTTTGTTGGCCCTAAATTTACTTCATCGGCCGGTTGCATTTTTTTTTGCTTAGATCCCAAAGTTGTTTTTCCCCCCTTTTAAATTGGTAATTAACATCTTCCCAAAGGAGGAACTTTTGAATTGTTAAATTATTTGTTTACAGCTTGATTTTAAGTTTCTGAAGGTATTTAAATACAAGCCCATGAAAAATGGGTGCTAATGCACTTTATGGAAAGCTTTTTCATTTTTTTTCAAATTTTTTCCTGGACATCCTAGTTTTTCATCTAAGAATTCAAATCTTAGACCAAATTCTGTTAATGAATTCTTTCCTTTTTCCTTCTATATGGAAAAGTTCAGTTTTTTAACTCATATAATTTCCCTGCTTCCTTTTTTTTTTTTTTTTTGGCGTGTTATGAAATATTTAGCGGATTTTTAATTTGCCCAGTTTGCCAAAATGGGCTGGTTGGGGTGGGAA